GTGGATGAATATCGTTGTGAATCATTTTGATGGGTAGAGGGAATGATTAAAAATGAGAATTTGGCTTCAAAAGGAAGTGGCACACAAATTAATAATAACCCCATCAATTAAGAAAAAAACATGATGGTGATGAGATTGCTGGGGAACAAGTTACAAGGGGGAAGGGATGATTAGCCATAGCAATTTGGAAGGATGATCAGGAGGACATATGTTGAAACATGATCTTGGTAATGACATGAGATCTTTTCTCTTTTGGAATCAATTGCTGGCCCATGCCAGAGAATAATCTGGTTTTTAGCAATGATTGTTTTCTCTCCTGCCAGTCCATCTACCCCTCATGTGAATAGTGATAACTCCTTTTCTCAAGGTTCGATCAAAGTTCGATCGTTTGGCTTGTGGGAATTTTTTGTATCAAGTTTGTTTGTTATAAACTTTTGATGTCTTGAGTCTTGTGTCCATTAATAGCTTAGAGCAGGTTTCTTTCGAACTTTTTCTTGTCCTGGGTGAGTTTTTTTGGTAGCTATTGTGTGATTGTTCTGAGTTTATTTTGAGAAAATGTGTAGTTAAATTTGTTAGTCTGCTGATTGTGTGATTTTTATTGTATTCGGTTTGTATTACCCTTGTATTACTTGTATTGAATAAATTTTATTTTTGTTGATAAAAAAACTTTTTTTTTTTATACATAGCATGCATACATGTGTTATTCTTTAATTTGTCTTAAATGAAGGATACATATTTTAAATACTACTGCATGCTAAACGGGGGAGCAAAAAATAAACCTCGGTTTCACATTATCAAAACAAAATAAAATAAAATAAATATATAAATAAATAAATAAAAACAAAACTTGCATCCTTCCCTTTACTCTATAGAAAAAAATGAGGTTGGGAAGGGGAAAAAGGGCTCTTTAATGCCTTAATTGTTTAATTAATTGTCTCTACTGGCCTTCAAGATGCGTAAGCATTAATGATGAAAGTTGATTTACAATGTAACGCAGTTACAGCTGGTCGACTACGTATTTCTTGACACATTTGAAAACAAACCAATACTGTTCTCCTGGCTTAGGTGGCTGCTGCTGCTGTTGCTGCAATGTTGGACTTGGACCCCAATTCGTAAGAAGAAGCGTTGTTTTCTTTTCACTAATCAAATTACAAAATTGTAATGAGATGATTTAATGGTTAAAATTTTGAAACTTAAAATAAAAAATTTTAAATTTAAGTCTTGAGTTAAGTGGAGAGAGGAGAACTATCCTTATTATATAACTTATAATCAGATATATAAAAAAAAAAACTAATTAAATTACAATTATTGTTCATGTGAAAAGCAAAATTAAAATACTTAATTAAATGTATTGAAATGTGTTCACTTGATTTCTAGAGGTGTGAGGTTGAAATACTAGCTACAAAATAATGAGATGTTTAGCTAATAATTTAAATAGTTTAGTAGTAATTTTTTTTATAAAATAAATTTAATTTAAATTGTATAATATACGAGTAAAATAGATTAAAAAATTAAAAAAAATTACTTTTTAGTATACAACTCAAAATAATAATAATGATGGGATGTCTTAATTATCCAATGTTACACAAGGGATGAAATGTTTTATTTGCCACGCGTGTCCCGCTTTTGGCCCATATTAGTAGCCCTGCAATTTATCCAAGTGGAGATGGTCCCGATGGACTTTCTCGTCAAAGTTATATAACTTTGTTAAAAAAATAATTAAAATTAAGTCACCATTTTTCTCAAGCAAATAATTACAGTAATTAAATGGAGTCTCTCACTTGTCCTAGGTGGGTGGTGTTGGTTTTGGTCGTTTTGGTTTGGATATGCAGTTAAGAAAAGTGTGGAACTTAACTATGGACGGACCAAGCTAGAACGATGTTACAAATTAGGAGAGCTAGGTTGGTGTCCAAGTTTTGTCTCTATCTTGAATGATGAATAAATAGTGTGGTTAAACTTTAGGTTGCCCACTCTAGGCATCAAAAGTCCTTGCTTGAAAACAATATTTTAAGCCCCGCGCATTTACTGTAAAATTACGTTTATTAATTAGCAGCTCACTTTGAACAGTCTTTGCATCTTCGGTCCCTTTTTTTTTTTTTCAGAGCAAAGAAATAATTTTTTATCACTATTATTTTTTAAAGATTAGTATTCATTAATTAGATTACAAAAAATTATGAAAAATAATAATTCAAAACTATATTATTTCAATAATCACAAAAAAATCCTTCATTTAATATGATTTTGATTTTGTGTTTTAAGTTTTAAGTTTTTTTTTGTATATTTAATAATTATTACCATATTTAAAAGTCAAATTTTATTATAAAACTTTGAATTTATTAACTTTAAATTAAATATAGTACTAATTACCACATATGTAGTAAAAAAATAAAAACCAAAAGTGAAATGATTACTACATATTCAGTTAACATACTTTTTGATATTTATTCAAATTTAACTATTAAAATATAATATAATTAAAAACAATTCAGCTAATTCTTGCATCTGTCATGACTCAAATTTTAATAGAATTTTATTTTTATTTTAACTAATATGTTTTGTTTTTGTTTTCCTTGTTAGGTTCAAGAGCAAAAACGAAATTTCACGAAAAAGTGGGCGAAGAAGAAACAAAGGACTCAATTGAAGAAATCAAAAGTTCTGGGATGAAATCCATCTGAGCTATAAATCTAGTCCATTTCTCAAACCCAAACCCAAAACCCATCAAACCCAAAGCCCACTCCAAAACTCAAACCAAACCCAACACCAACCCATTTTGATTTAAAGCCCAAAAGCCCAAAAACCCAAAGAACCAAAACCCATTTAACCCAACCCAACAAAAAAATTTTAAAAAAAAGTATTCGTTCTCTCTTTCCAGAACATTCTTCCCCTCACACCCAAACCAGCCGGCAGCCATACACCCACGCCCACGCCCACGCCCCGCGCCCTACCCCTTGCGTCCCGCGCACCTGCCTCGCACCAGATCGCCTGCACTCTGCCCCTGCACACCGAGCCATCATGCCCCTACGCCCCTGCTGCTGCACCGAACCAGCCCTTGCCGTCTGCTGCGCCGAACCCACGTTGCTTGCACGCCTGCACTCTGCGCCGGCAATCATGCCCTCTGCTCGCTACAGTACCTGCCAGAAAATCTTCATCATTATTGATTGACAGAGCAAGGCCTTTTTTCATTATTATTTATTTTATCTTTTACTTTTGGGTATATATATAGGAAAAATCAGATTGAGGGGGATTCGGTATTGATTTTAGGGGGTTGGTTAGTTTTTGAAGTTTGATAGAAAGGAGAGGTCGGTATTGATTTTAGGGGGTGGTTGGTTGATTTTGGGTCTGTTTGCTGGGGAGTCTCGTCTGAGTTTTGAGAGCAGAAGAAGGAAATTCTGAGGAGAAGAGGGGGGGGTCTTTTGCTGGTTGATTTTCGAGTTTAGTTTGAAAAGAAGATCGATTCTGCTCGCTGGAGGTGGGAAAACAAAAGGATATTCTTGCTTTAGGTAATCTCCTGAACAGAGGGATTTTTGGGAAGGATAGTGAAGGAGACGAACGGAGCCTGGCCCGTGGGTGGGATCCCTCCCTTCCGATCTGGATCTACCTCCTAAAAATTCCGCCGTGGGCGTTTTTATTACTTTCTGTTGATTTTGTTTAGATCTGTGTTTAAGATTGAATGTGTTTTCTTGAAAAAATGAATGAAAAGCCAAAAGAAATTATCCAGTTCGTCTTCATCTGATGAATGTATTTTTATTTTATTTTTCTGTTATTGTTTTTTTTGGATTAGATGTATATTGTGGAGGAACTTGGTTTGGAATCCGATGAACTCTAGTTTTCTGGTTTTGTCTGCATGTTTTTTAATCTTTTCTTTGCTTATTTTCTCACTTGGATTCTGTTTGTGGGTTGGGTTGACCCGACCCAATCCAATAGATTAATTATATATAAAAAAAAACTAAAACAAAAAAAAGTAAAAAAAAAAATTATTTAATGTAAATAAAAAGGATTAATTAATTAGGATAATTAATTTAGTTTATGATTAATAAAATTAATTAACTTTAATTAAAATAAATTAATCA